TCTCTCAAAAATAAAAAAATAAAATCACACACCTTGCTAAATCATTTGCCTGATGATTTTTGTGGACTTTTCTATCTAGGCATCATAATATGCTAATACTGATGGTTTTGCTCTTTTCTAATTCTTACACCTTGAACTAAAATATATAAGTTTTAAGTATATTCTCCTTTTAATATTCTAAGAGCTTTTATCAAGAAAAGGTGTTGAGCTGGGCACGGTGGCCCACACCTGTAATCCCAGAAGCTCAGGAGGTGGAGACAAGAGGATCACGAGTTCAAAGCCAGCCTCAGCAAAAGTGAGGCACTAAGCAACTCAGTGAGACCCTGTCTCTAAATAAAATACAAACTAGGGCTGGGATGTGGCTCATTGCTGAGTGCCCCCTGAGTTCAATCCCTGGTACCAAAAAAAAAAAAAAAAGTTGAATGTCTTCAGCATATTTGTGTGTGTGTGTTTGTGTGTGTTGTTTTTTGGTTTGGGATCTGTTAAGATGGTCATATAAGCCATGCTCGGTGGCACACACCTGTAATCCCAGTAGCTCAGGAGCCTGAGGCAGGAGGATCACAAGTTCAAAGCCAGCCTCAGCAACTTAGCAAGATCCTATGGAACTTAGTGAAACCCTGTCTCAAAAATAAATAAATAAATAAATAAAAATGGGCTGGGGATGTGGCTCAATGGTTAAGCACCCTGGGTTCAATTCCTGGTACTCCCAGAATAAATAAATAAATATAAATAAATATACATATATATATGACCAAATATGTTTTCCCTCTTAAATCTGTTAACGGAAGGTTTTAGAGTGGACTCCTTCAAAAGCAAATCCTGGAACAAGGCCTCGGGCTCAGGCAGGTTACTTGGGAGATGACTCCAGGAAGCAGAGTGGAGGATCTGGGAGGAGGTGGCAGGAAGGGAGGAGCCATTGAAAGGAGCCAGACTGTGTTGCAAAAGGGTCAGTTCTGCTGGACCTCTGACCCTCCCAGTATTGGACGCCACCAGGAAGGAAGCGCAGCTTGTCTCCAGGGGCTGCTGTCCCCTGGTTGGGTATTGCATCCTAGGGACCTCATCTCTCCATTTATCTGGGGAACAGGCAGATAAATAACTCTTACAGCACGGCATGGCCTGGAGGCACAAAGCGAAAAGAAGCCAGGTGTAAGGGTGTAAGTTTGAGGGAGGGGACAGGGGCAGCAGAAGGCTCAGATCAGAGGCGATGTGGCTCAGGGTACCAGGCCGAGTTTCCAACATAACCGCTCTGGCTCCTGGGCTCTCCTTCCACTGCTGGGCACCCAGCTTGGCTCTGACATCACAGGCACCCAGGGCCTTGAATGTGCCAAGCAAGCACTTTGCCAAGTTGCCCAGGCTGGCCTTAGACTTGCTATCCTCCTGTCTCAGCCTCCCAAACACCTGGGATTACAGGCCTGTGCCACTGTGCCCAGCTTCCGGCAGTTTCTTTGGGAGAAGATTTTAAATCACTGATTCAGTATCTTTAAGGGTTACAGAACCATTCAGGTTTTTTATTTCTTCCTAAATTACGTCTGGCAAGTCATATATTTTTTTTTCCTAAGATTTGGTCTACTTGGTTCCATTTTTCATGGCATACATACCTTGTAAGTCTTCTTTTTTACTTTTAATTGTGGTAAAGTACACATAACATGAAACATACCACTTATCCATTTTAAAATGCACAATTCAGTAGTGCTACATATGTTCACATTGTTTTGCAACCAATCTCCGGAATCAATCTTACAAAATTCTAATGGCCCATTAAACAACTCTCATTTCTCTTCTCTCCAGCCCCTGCCGTCCACCCCTCTACTTTGTGTTTGTGTGAATTTGTATCGTCTTCTTTTTCATCTTGTGCTTGAAAGGAAAGTGACCACAACACTCGGAGTGACCAAGAGATCTTTTTGCAGCAGTGCAACAGAGGAGAAAAGAGAGAAAGAGAAAGAGAGAGAGAGAGAGGAGAGCATGCGCGCAAGGGAGACAGATCAAGAGAGAGAGAGACAGAGCAAGAGAACAAGAGAGAGAGGGGCCCAGCAGGAGGGAGTTTTTATAGCCCAAATCTAACGGGGCCTCTGGGTCTGCAAGCTGCCTTATTGGCACAAGGGGGGGTTGAGTGTTCAGCCTTGAGTGGGGGTTGAATGTTCAGCTTTGACGCAAACACTGATAAAGGACAGAGGGCGGTTTGAGTGCGTGGGCCATCCTGCAGCTAACATTTGTTCAGCCTGTTCTGCACCTAACAGTGCTTATGTTCCCATTCTGGTTCCCAGCAGTGTTTATTGGTTTCTTCTTCTCCTCCTCCTCCTCCTCCTCTTCTTCCTCCTTCTCCTCCTTCTTGTTTGTTTAGAAATATGTTGTTCCAGAGACTTGCCCGGAAATTTCCTTTGGCCTTCTGTCTTTCTTCTCCTTCCTGAGGGTCTCTGGGAAACCAACCCCTGACGGTCCTCCTGCTCTAGTTCATCAGACAAGACAGCTGGCTCTCGCTCACGGTGACTTCACTCCCTCCTACGTGTGTAACCCTGGACAAGTCCCTTAATTGTTCTGTGCCTCAGTTTCCCATCTGTAAGACAAGGACAGTAACAGTGCTCTACCTTACAAAGTTAGGGGACTCATGAGTTAATACTGTGGAGTGCTATGACAGTGACCAACTTGTAGCAGCCATGTGCTAGGTAACGACATCACCACTGCATACCGAGGTGGCAGTACAGTGGTAGCCAGGGAGTCTCCACTGAACGCACCTCCGGCCCTACCCTGCTGGTCAAGCCCCTGGGCGCCCCCTGCGACTGCCCCATGGGTAGGAGGAGAGTTCCCTGATCTCAGAACTCTGCCAACCCTGAGTGGAACTGACCCCTCCTGGCTGGGATTCCGGCCTCCTACTTTTGCCTCTTTCCCCCAGCATCATTCCAAAGCCCAGGATCCCTTTCCAGAGACTTCCCTGGATTCAGACTGAGAAAGGCAACACTGAATGACTGCAGAGCAGTCACTAACTTTGGCCTAAGTGGTGAGGGAAGTGCTGATGGCCCCGTGCCCTCTCAGTCCAGGAGCAGAGCTGGGCCTGACTCCCTAAAACTCTGGGGCCTGCATTCTCTCTCTCTCTCTCTCTCTCTCTCTCTCTCTCTATCTATCTATCTTTTTGTGTGTGTGTGTGTGCCAGGGATTGAACTCAGGGGCACTCGGCCACTGAGCCACATCCCCAGCCCTTTTTTGTATTTTTGAGACAGGGTCTCCCTTCACCCCCTCCTAGGTGTGTAAACCTGGACAAGTCCCTTAATTGTTCTGTGCCCCATCTGTAAGACAAGGACAGTAACAGTGCTCTACCTTACAAAGTTAGGGGATTGATGAGTTTCTACTGTGGAGTGCTATGACATCGCAGGTGCAGCCATGTGCTAGCGCCTCACTTTTGCTGAGGCTGGCTTTGAACTCATGATCCTCCTGTCTCAGCCTCCTGAGCTGCTGGGATTACAGACATGTGCCACTGTGGCCGGCTGGGGCCTGCATTTCTAAAGGCCCCAACTGGAGTTCCCTGAGAAATCAGGGGACCTACAGCCTGGTCCCAGGGGATCTGGGACAGAACTGGGAGAGCAAAGGTAGGATATGTGGAGAGCAAGATCCACCTGGGAAGGTCCTGGTCCATCAGAGTCCAGCCCTCACCTGCGCCCTGCTTCTGGACCCCTGAAGGGAGCAGGAGCTTCCCTAGAGATAGGCTGCAGCCCCTCAGCCCCAGCCCCCCAGACCAAGACCCTGCCTGGAGTGGGCAGGGAACGTCAGCAGGCTGGGCCCAGAAAGGGAGGCTGAGGCCACACAGATCCCTTCTCTCCTGGGCCTGGGCCTCTGGGGACTGTTGTGGGCTGTGATTCCCAAGGTTCTGGGCCTCACATGGGCCCTTAATCAGCTGAGTCAGGACAGGTTTAAGGTGGAAGCTGAGTGGGAGGGTTAGGGTTAGGGTTAGTCAAATACCCAGCATACACGTGCTGGGTATTTGCAGGAACCTCAAATTCCTGCCTGGTTTTCCTTAAAAAGCCCAGGTCTCTCTCGCCTTTGCTGTGGTGACTGGGTGCCCTGATTGGATATTTTCTTCCCAGAGGAGACTTCAACAAAGTGTCTTGTGGGATTTGGGGTTCCCCAGATCTGCGCCTTGGAGGCCTCATTCAGCTGTGTGCACACAGTCCACAGGGATCCCGTGTGCACACGCGTGAACACACACACACAGGTGTTGCCTTCCCTCGCCCCACTCTTGCAGGGGGCTTTGGAAGAAGAGGTTCCTCCCCTGCTTATCAGCTGTTTCCCAACTTCCTCTGCCTGCGGACCCTGGAGGCCCGGAGGCCCGGGAGTTGGCCTGTGCACGTGGCTTCCGGAGCTCCGATAATGAGAGGAAGTGCGGTCATCAGCTCACAGAAGGCTAGGGATCTGGGGCTGCAGCTCCATTCACTGCTCCCTGGCTGAACCGTCCATCTCCCTCCAGACAGCCCTCGGCTGTTCCCTGGGAACCCGTGGACCCAGCGGGAGATGTCTTCTTTAAGTCGCTGGGGCCTACACGCGGCCCTTCTCGCCCTGCTCTGCTGCTCAGGTGAGCGGGTCTGACACCTGGCTGCCCGGGGTGGGGTGTTGCCCCGCTCTCCGGATTCAGGCAGGGAAGGGGGAGGTCCTGGTCCTGTAGTTTTTGAGGCTTTGAACGTGGGGTTCATTCCACCATGGGCACAGGATACTGTGGCAGCCTGTCCTTGGGTCCCTGTGGCCCTGGGCAGTGGGTAGGGTCCTGGACTTTCGGACACCAGGTGGAACAGACCTCACAGCTTTGGGGTGTATGGTATGGCAGGTCGTGGAGGCTGAATGATGGGGGTGGGTGGGGGGCTCAGGAGGTGAAGGGATGCTGGGGGGCCTAGGGGACCGTAGGGGGCAGCAGAGGACATCACCTCCTGGCCATGACGGTCAAAGTGAAAATGAAACTTCTTTCAGTGGGTGGAGGGGACTAGGAAGGGAGGTGGCTGCCATATGCTGAGCACCCCGGCCCTGGATGGTCAGCCAGGTGCTTTCAAGCTAGGGGATACTAGCCTATTTGATGGAGGAAGAGACCGAGGCTCAGGGAGAGGAAGCCCCCAGGCAACCGGTGGCGAATTCCGACTCACACCCAGTGCAACCCACCTCCAACGCCCCTCTCTTGCCATTTCGTCATATGCCACGCGCTGCAGGCTGAGCGGGGCGTGCAAGGGAGATGGGAACATGGGACACAGGCTGGCCCAGCTAGTCTGGATCCAAATGCTCTCAGTCTACTTTTGTCACTGCTGAGTCCCCAGAGCCTAGCATGGTGCCTGGTATGTCGCAGATGGTGTTTTTGTTTTGTTTTTAATGTTTTTTAGTTGTCGATGGACCTTTATTTTTTTATTTATATGCGGTGCTGAGAATCCAGTGCCTCCCACAAGCTAGACAAGCACTCTGCCACTGAGCCCCAGCCCCAGCCCCTAGCACGTGTTTGAAAAGAGTTTACCAGGAAAGGAAGGAGGGAGGGGCTCGCCCCAGGCCATGGCTCAGAGAGCACAGCTTAGAGCTCACCTCCATTCTCAGAGAGGCTGTCAGGGAGGAGGGGGCTTTCAGGTGGACCCTGAAGGAGATGGAAGAGGATCTTGAGGAAGGCCAATCTGCAGCTGAGGAGCAGAGGGGGTGGGAGGAAGGAACACCCAGAGGCTGGGAGGCCTCCGGGATCTAGCCAAGAAGCCATAGGCCTGAGGGCACTGGGAGAGGAGGAGAGGGGCCATCCATGGCCCTTATCCTTGGACTCCCGGTGGCAGGTGCTCTGCTGGCAGGGCAGCAGGGACATTCACCACACGATGCTTCTGTTCCTCCAGAGTCTGGTGAGGCAGCGTTCGAGGTACACATATGGCCAGAGAGGCTGGTGGTAGAAAATGGAGGGTCCAGGACAGTCAACTGCAGCACCAGCTGTGCCAACCCTGATACGGGAGGCCTGGAGACCACCCTGGAAAAGACTCTGCTGGAGGATCAGCCTCGGTGGAAGTCCTTTTGGATCTCAAACGTCTCCTGGGACGCGGTCCTCTTTTGCTACTTCACCTGTGCTGGGGAGCAGCAGTCAAAGAGTCTCAACGTCAGCATGTACCGTGAGTGGCTGTGCGCAGGCCCTGCTGTCCCCAGGGTGCTGCCCCCGGGGCCTTCCACCCCAGCCCCCACCTCCCTGGGTTCCTGGGGTGACAAGGATCAGGACAGGACAATGGGCTCAGATATGCCCACACCCTGGGTAGGACTCCTTGAGCCCCTGCTATCCTTGCAGCAGGCCCCCAGGTCCTGAGCCTTGCTCTAAGGAGGACAGCCAACCAGGACTTAGGCAGATCCCACAGTCATTTCTCAATGTGGTGTTCCTCAGCCCCGCCCCCGCTCAGCCGCCAGTGCAGCCTGCCTCCATGACATCGGTGGAGGACCATCAGGAGACCTGGGCACGCTCTCACCTCATAAGGAGAAGGTCGAGTGCCACTCGGTGTCCTTATCTTACCCTGAGAGCCCATGGCAAATGGGTTACCATCACCCACAGACATCTGCCCAGGAGCCATGGAAACCCTCCAGATAGGCCAGGACTCTCAACATTTGGCTCTGGGGGTATCGCTGAGGTCCTCCCCATCACCAGCATCAGAGGATCCAGATGAACAGAGAAATGCCCTGAAACCAACAGGTGATACTGGGTGGGGGTGGGAGTGAGTGGAATCCAGGGCCCTACCACAGGCCCCGTCAGTAGTCGGGAACCTGATCCTGGAGAAGCGAGGCTGGTCTGCAGTCCTCACCCCTAACGGAACCTCGCAGTTCAGTTCCTCAAGTGCCCAGTGCCAATGAGCTCTTCCCTTCTCCGTCCAGCTGTTTAATTTTTGAATTTTTTTTTTAATAACTGGAGAGGAAGGAGACAGACCCAAACTTTTTTTAATCTTTCCAGTTAGCTATACAATTTCTGGACCTTTTCTTTGTAGACACTAGCTCACCTCCATGTTGTCTATTCTCCAAGTCACGTCCACTAATCTATCGCCCGGTACATCCTTCAGCTTAATTCTTCTTTCCTCCTCTCTTCACAAACCAGACCCCAGCCCACTTCCTCCCTTATAATTCCTGGAACACCACAGTGACAGGAGATGGCCCTGGCCGGGTAGGGCCTGTGGAGACACACCCCCATCCTGACCAGGCCTCCCTCCTTCATCCCCACAGAATTTCCAAAGCAGATCATACTGCAGCTGCAGCCCGTCTGGGTGACCCTGGGCAAACCTTTCACTATTGAGTGTAGGGTGTCCGCTGTGAAGCCCCTCGAGAGCCTCACCCTCACCCTGCTCCGTGGCAAGGAGACCCTGCACAGCCAGACCTTCAGTGGGGGAGCAACTGACCCTCAAGAGGCCAGAGTCACATTCAACAGCACAGCAAGCAAAGAGGATGGCCTCCTGAACTTCTCCTGCCAGGCCGAGCTGGACCTGCGGTCTCGTGGGGGCGACATCTTGCGCTACATCTCAGAAAACAAGGTCCTTCAAGTCTATGGTAAGGAGACCCCAAGGGCAGAGGGGAAGGGAGATAGCATTCCCTCTTAGCCTTTAGCCCCATTCTCAGGCAGATTGGGGTGCACATGTAATCCTGAGGGCTCCCCTTTGCTCCCCGTCTTCCCTGATTCTCTCAAGTCCCCAGCCAGAACCCTGGTTGTTCCAGAAGTCAGGGGAGCTCAACTAGTAGCTTGGCTGTTCGTGAGCTGTGTGGCCTTGACCAAGGCAATGTACCGTCTCTGCCCTTGGCTGCTCTCTGCAGTGGGAAGGCTGGTCTGCCTGACCTGTAAGGTCCCTGGGGCACAGCTGTTCTGTGATTCTCGATGGCTAGAGCATTCTCTGTCAACGGGGAGCCTGTTTGTCCAGAACTCACAGGGCCCTGCCTGGGGAGGCTTCGTCTGCACGATGCCACCCTCCAAGCCATGGTTCTCAGCTACACGTAGCTGGTCTTAAGAGCTGCTAGCAAGGGGACATCTGCCCTCACAGTCTCACAGAGGTCTCACTGGTGGTCTGAGGCCTGGGTCACCTTTCTCTTAGATGCCACTCTGGAAGAAGACACCATGTGCCCTTCCTCTTGACAACCAGGGTGACTGCAGGGTGGATGAGTGGGTGGAGCTGATGGGTAGCACCTGAGAACTTCTAAGACCACCACCCCCTCCTTCCCTAGAGCCCCCGCCGGAAAACCAGATGGTCATCATTGTCACAGTCGTGTCGGTACTGCTGTTCTTGTTTGTGATGTCCGTCCTGCTCTGCTTTGTCTTCGGCCAGCACTGGCGCCAGAGGCGGATGGGCACCTATGGGGTGCGAGCTGCCTGGCGGAGGCTGCCCCAGGTCTTCCGGGTGCAGCACATGTGAGCTGCGAAGCCACTGCCATGGTGGCTGCTGGAACTCAGCATGGCTCCTCAGGGTCGTGGTCCAGCCCTGGCTGAAGGACTATGACAGCAGCATAGGACTCTGGCGACATTTCCTTTTTGAGCCTGAATACAAACGCCCGGCCCTAACCCTGTGTCCTCCATGTCTGCTCCTGGGATATCAGTCAACAGCCCAGAAGGGGAAGGTACAGGTACCGACTTCTGCCCCTGCAGGTTCCCTCAGCCTCTTCCTGTCCTCTCTTTCACAGGGGCCTTCCCAGGCTCTGCTGGCCCAGGCTCAGTTCCCAGACACAAACCCCATCTGGCCCCCAGTGATGAATTCCTACTGGGGGAGGGGCAGAAACAATGTGGCCTGTGAGGCAAAAGACACTGCTGTCACCTGGCCCAAGGTCCCCTAGGATCATTCCTGGTGAGAGCAGGACACAATTCTGACTCTCTTTCCCACTGTGTGAGGATGGGGCCCAAGGGAACTGGCTCAGCTCCAGGGTCTTCCCCGCTAGCCTCTCCCCTACCACTTTAGGCCCTTCTCTCCCCCAAGGCGGCCTTCAAAGATCTGGGGAAACCAGAACATTCCACTTCTCTCTGGACCCATTATTAGGCCCAAAAGGCAGCCCCACCATCTTTGTCATTCCAGAAGGAGGAGTGAGGGACAAGGGTGGGCCTGGGGCTCTTGCACCTGGGTTTGCCCCAAGTCCAGGCAGGAAACGGTTGGGTTTCTGTGGTTTTCAGGCCCTGAAGGGGCCAGAAGGAGTGCTTACAGTCCAGTTAAAAACCACAGTGGGTGGAGGGCTGGGGTTGTGGCTCAGCAGTAGAGCTCTCGCCTAGCACATGCAAGGTCCTGGGTTCGATCCTCAGCACCACATAAAATAAATAAATAAATAAAATAAAGATATCGTGTCCAACTACAACTAAAAAATAAATATTTTATAAAAACCCACAGTGGGTGGAGAGGGGCTGATCCACCAGGGAGGAGAGGGCCTGGCTGAGGTTGAGACGGTGAGAAAGGATGTCAGCGTGGATGCAGAGTTGGCAGACAGCACAAGGGCAGCTGGAAGCTTCCAGGCTGTTCTCTGTCTTGCACTGAAGCAGGCATGGTCCCCACGAGCACCCATCTTCACAGCATACTCTCAGCATCATAGTAATCTAAGGAGATAGCACCCCCATCTTGCCTCCCTCCTGCCTCAGTGGACTCCAAGGAGGGAAAACAGAAGGGGACAGTCCAGTGCCCATATCAGTGATAGCAAAGCCCCCACACAGGGCACATGGCCCTCCTGGCCTCCCGATCCATTCCTGGGCTTGGGTTCCCACTGCCCACTTACCCAGCCCCCTACCTGAAGCAGGAGGTACATCTGCACCCACAGTCCCTGTGGCACTGGGGGGTGGGGGCGGTGGCACAGCTCTCCTGATATGGGGAGAGAAAAGAAGATCCTTCAGCGGCCCAGGCATGGCCTCCAGTGCTTCCCCCACAATCCCCTTGGCCTGCTCTGCCAGCCTGGCCCCAGAGCAGGAACCTGGTAAAGCCCAGACCTCAGCCTCGCTTACATCCCCCTTTTCCTGGAGGCAGGAGGCCAGTGCTGAATCCTGGGTGCATCCTGCAAGAGGGGCTGATGTGGGGGAGGGGGGAGGAAAGGGGCTGGCCAGAGTAGTAGGGATCCCAGGGAGGGCACTGAACAGGGCAGGTAGTGGTGGTGGAACACCACAGGCTCTTCCTCCTGAGTGTCCATCTCCTCCTGCAGTTCTTCCAGTTGGTCCTCTAGGTAGACCTAGGATTGTGCAAAGGGGAAGGGGAGATGGTGACAGAGAATCAGACTCTCCTACCCCCACTCCTCTGTTCATCTACATGATTTTCTCCAGATATGTACTTTCAACATGGCTACTGAGCATTTACTGTATCACGCAAGGCACTTTGGAGACATTTATTCCTGATTTTACAGGTAAGAATACTAAGGATCCAAGAGATTGAACAACTTTTCTAAGGTCCCCCAGCTAATAACTGGTAGAGCAAGGGCTGGAAGAATCCAGGTGACTCCAGAGCGGAGGCCTGGAGTCCACTCAGCTGCGCTGGGCCTCACTCTCAGCTCCAGAACTGCCTTGTGCCCTTCAGTGATGTGGAGCACTTATCCTAAAGGTCCCCCTGCCCAACCCTGGAGGGTGGGTTTACCCCTCACCCCCTTCACCAACGTCAAAATTCTACTCGGCTCTAAAAAGCTGGTTCTAAGGGTTCCTGCTCCTCTTCCAAGGAGGGATGGCCCTTTCCCCATCCCTCACCAGGTGTGAGCATGCTGCCTACATTTCGTTCGCCAGCCATGCCAAAGCCGGCAGTATTCACAGCCGCTGGTTTATTCATTCACTTGTTGGACAAATACCAATTGAGTCTAGGCTAGGCAACAGTGTCCATGGTGCCTGCAAGTGGGCAGGGCTTGCACTGCAGGGAAACTTCCTTGAAAACCAGGTCTGTGTGGTCTTGGTTTGGGGACCCTCCCGGCATGGAGGCTTACACCTGGCTTGACACCTAAATGCATGCCAGAGGGACTCAAGTGTGGGCTGGCTTTCCTTGCCTCTTCGCCCAGGACTTTCTCTCCAAGAGAAACCCCAGTTGGATCACCCAGGGCCTGCAGGTGGGCGAGGCGGTGGCCCCAGCCCCACGCACCTGCTCGCTGGGCGAGTCTGACCCGGGGCTCAGCGCTCCCGCCGCCCCCGCCGCCAGGCGGCTCAGCAGCAGCTGGTGCATCTGCGCGTTCTGCAGCATCATCAGCTCCAGCAAGTCTAGGGGCCAAGAGTTCAGCCGGCTGAACCCGGCTCCCGCCTTCACCCCGCCCCGACCCCTCACCCATTCCCGATCCCAAGGCCTTTATCTTGAAGTCCAGCCCCCAGCGGAAGCGGAGGTGGGGCAGCGCGGACCCCCGACACCTGGAGAAGGGAACGTGGGGGACAGAGGCGGGCACAGTAGGGTGACCCCGGAGTCTCACCTTCCTTCACGCGGCCCGGCTGCGGGGGCGGGGGTGGGACGGCCGACGGAAGGGACTGCAGGATGGTCACCCAGGGCTGGGGACATTGGGGGGGGAGACTCAGACCAGGTGGGAAGGGATGGGGCTTGTCGCGGGAGCCCCAACACCTTCCTCCCATGGGTTGCTTCTCCCTCCCTGTCCAGTCTCTTCCTCTTGTTTGGGGTCTCTCTCCTCACCCCCACCGTGCATCCCCTCCAGAATCCAGCCCCTCCAGGGGCGGCTCCCCAGCGCCGCTGTCCCCCCCGCCCCCCCCCCCCGCAAGTCAGGCTCGGCTCCCAGGCTCAGCCCTCACCGTAGGGTCTGCACTCCGTGGTGGGGCGCTACCCCAGCTCCCGCCTGGCCCAGAAGCCATGGCCAGCGTCTGCGGGTCAGGGTTACCATGGCAACGCTAGCGACGCCAAGGGAGGAGGACTTCCACTCCTGCGCCGGCCCGCCCAGGCCCAGGCCCCGGCCCCTGTTGCCCTGGGCGACTTGCCCTCAGCCCTCCTCTCCTCCTCCCAGAAGGACGTGGAGTCCTACCGCTGTCGGTCTGGCCTCCAGGAGGCCCTTCCTTCAGGCCAGGGCTCCCAAGACTTCAGGTCTTAAATCTCCCTTTATCTTGTGGCCTTCCTCACCCTCGCTACTAGACGGGAGTGGGCCTATGTTTGTTGAATGAATGAAGGAGTAGCTGGGTAGCCTTGGTTTGCTGGTCCCAGAGTTCAAACTCAGCTGATGAGTTCAGCAGGAATAGAGAATGTTGTGTGTGCAAGCTTGGAGTGAGGGTCTGCTGAGCTAGACAGCCCCTCTGTCAATCAGAAGAGGGGCCCTCTGCAGACAGAGTGGTTTCTGAGGATAACCAGGAAGGAAACACTGACCTGATTCGCAAAAGAAGCTGGGGCTGGGGCCAAAAAGGGTGGCCAGATGCTTATCTCTCCTTTGTTTTCTCCCTGATTTCTGGCCAGTGTGAGTTGCTACCCCTCTGAGGTGGATAAGCGGTCCCCAGTCCTGTCCCATATACTGGAACATGCATTGTTCTGACAGGAAGTTAGCAAGGTCTCCATTGCTTAAGAACAGGTGAGGCGGGAGATCTATTTCGGCAGCTGTGACCATCCTAAGATAGGCCCTGAGCAGCAAGTCAAGGAAAATCCGGACAGGAAGCTGGGATTAGCACCCTATGAGGTGCCCTTCCCCCACCCCCCACTTCTGTTCTGCTCCCTTCCTAGCAGTCCTGGAGTCTAGACCCAGAAAGACCATTTCCACCTTCCTCCTTTGTTTCTTAGTCTTGTCTCCAAAGGAGGGGGCCAGTGGACAATGCATTATTTGTCTTGTTGGTTTTATCGCTACAGAACCACCAACAAGCTGTGGTCACAGGCCCACACGAGAGAAGCATGCTCCATCTCTATTTTCATTCCAAAGCCGAGCACTGTACCCCCCAACAAACCTTGAACAGGGAAGTGACTGTGGGTGAAGAGGCCTATCTGAAAACTGGAGGTGGTGTCCTGGTACGCTCCTTGGTCCCAGCACCCACCGTGGGGAAGTGTGAACAGACCCTTGAAAAGAAAGCAGAACTACAGCACCGTGGAAAGTCCCTGTAGGTGACTTATGCGAGAAGAGATAATGAAAAAGAGAGAATTCTATAACTGGGGGATGGAGATCTGAGCAAGGTGGCCCTCAGATGGGATCAAGCAGCTTGGGAGAGAGAAGGCACTTCAAACTGGAGACAGGCAGAAAAAAGTCATGGCCATGCCTTCATCCCTCAGAAAGGAGCCCGGAGCCTGCTGGAGGTGGCTGTGGAAAGCAGGTGGGAGGAGGGATCATTCCCGTTCCTCAGATGTCAGATGTAAAACTGCCGGTTAACTTGTACAGGGAACTTGTATTTTGGAAAACAAGGCTAAGGTGAAAAGTGTCTGGCTTGTAGTGTTCAAGTTCTTTATCATAGGAAAACCAAAGCGTTTGCTGCTCGAAAGAAGGAATGCACAGGCAGATCTGCTGAGTTCTTCACCTGAGGAGACTTAACATCAGCCCCCCAGAGCAGGGGAGGTGACTCACCAGCTACTTCCTTGACTACTATTATTTTCTTTCAGACATTGGCCACTCCACCTATTTCCTTTTAATTTTTTTTTCCATCAGTGAGAACTCTATTTTATATCTTTGGAATTTTTTTTTTTATTTTTGTTTTTGTGTTTGGGTGTGTATGTGTGTGTGTGTGTGTGTGACCCAAAACAATTTGTACCAAAATTCAGCGTCCCAAGACAATTTGTTCTGCCTATTGCCTTGGTAAATCTATTTCTGGGAATAAGCTAAACATGGAAAAAATTTACACTCAAATGTGTTCATCACAGTGTTATTTTTAAGAGTTAAAAATTGAACATTACTCAAAGTCCAATTATAGGGGAATGGTTGAATAAATGAAGGCAATCTACCCAAAGTATGGACCTTGAAAAAAAAAGTTACCTCCTCTCCTCCTGAGATGCAAATAGAGAGGAAAAAGTTCCTAAGATTCTGATTACAAATTTCAATGCTTATTTTGAGTATAGGTGAGGGAACACAGAGAGAGCACCAAGCAAGCAAGGAGTTTTTTTCTCATACCCAATACTTAGATACACAAATTGGATGGAGCTAGAACATAAGGATTGAAGGAAAGAAAATATATATTGCTCTGTAAAATTATGCGGCTGGCATAGAAAACATACTAAAGAAGGAATCTTGAAAACACAAGAGTGAAGGAATTCCATTTTCTGCTTAGAAACTCTACGCTATTTCTACAAATTATGGTTGTCCTTATGAGGTATGTGTTATGGTTTAGATATGAGGTGCCCCCCAAAGGCTCATGTGTGAGACAATGCAGAAAAACTTTAAGAGGTGAAATGATTGGGTTTTGAGAACTTGAATCAGCAAACTAATCAAAGGATATGGATTAACTTGGTGGTATCTATAGGCAGGTAAGGAGAGGTTGGAGGAGATGTGTCACTGGGAGCGTGTGCCTTTGGGGTTTATATTCTGTCCCTGGTGATGGAGCTGTCTCTGCTTCCTGATTGCCATGTCCTGAGCCGCCTTCTTCCTCCCCTCCCTTCCACCATGATGTTCTGCCTCACCTTGGGCCTAGACCGATGGAGTCGGCCCTCTATGGACTGAGACCTCTGAAACTGTGAGCGCCAAATCAACTTTTCCTCCTCAAAAACTGTTCTTTTCAGGTCTTTTGTTTACAGAGGCAAAAAAGCTGACCAAGTATGCATATGTGATTTAGTCTAATAGGCACTTGGTGATTGTTCAGGTTGGGGTGGTCTTGCTGGGACCAGGATATCTAAGGTGAAGAGAATACTTGAGTAGCAGGCTCCCTAAATATTGCCCAAGGGAGATCTCCTCAAGTTTGCCAAGAAGTAAATGATGTTATTACAGAAAGATAAATCAAGGTGTACAGAACTGGAAAAAGAAATTGAAGAACCCATGTCACAACCCGCTGATGGAGGGAGTGATGATATTTTTAAGGTCTGCTGCACAGTTTTCCTGGAACTGGCCTTTGGTGCTGATACTCTGAACTTCTACCTATTTTCTTGTGTCAGTCCCTGTTTGCTAGGGTCTCTCAAAATTCAATTTCTGGCTTAACCATCTCAGTTTGGTAGAGCACATCTATCTGTAGTTTCCTAAGAATGAATTCAGGGGTGGTAAATTTTTATGATATCTTATATTTTAAAATGCCTTTATTCTAGAGGTTGAGGGTATAGTTCAGTTGGTAGAGTGCTTGTCTCACATGCACAAGGCTCTGGGTTCAATCCCCAGCAAACCACACACACACACACACACACACACACACACAATATCTTTATCCTACTCTCATGTTTGATGGATAACTATAACTTGATATGGAACTCTAATTTTTTTCTACCCCTGTTTTCTTAACAGTTTTAAATTAGTATTGTTCACATAAGGTATTCAGAGGGAGGCAGTCCTAGAACTGATTCAGTCTCCCAGTGGTGTCCTCAGAACCCAGACTTCCTTCCCCTCTGTGCTCTTGATCTTCCTCCTATCAATCTGGGAGACCAGGGGTTTTAAGTTTTAGCTTTTATTGTGTCTGTAGGAAAGGCAAGATAGGAAGCAACAGCTGCTCATAGAGGTGGAAAGGGACAGTCTACAGAATATGCCATAAAACTTTTTGATATGCTCATCTAGAATTATAATTTCCTTCCAGTTTTCATTTTGTCTGAGAAATGTCATCGATTTCTTATTTTTTCACCATTGCATGGACATTTCTATGTTGGAATTTAAATGTTTAATGTCAAAGAGCCTTTAACATCAGGACATTCTTTGTTTATATATCTCATTTAAAGGTTGAACATGTTCTTTCTGAGGAAATAAATTCGTGCTGTTTTAAAAGTTAAAAAAAAAAAAAAAAAAAAAAACCTGGGCTTCATGGGGCCTCAGGGGAGAAGGAGGACTGTACTGGAAACAGGGCTAGAGGCCATTCATGTTACATCCTGGCAAAAAAAAAAAGTTGTCTACATTTTGCCCACATCCTGAGACCTCTGTGAGGCTGAATTCAAAGGTGATGAACGAATTAAACTGGCAGAGAAAACTTCAAGCCAGCACGCCATTTAGAAAGTGGCATGATATCATTCACAGCTTTTAGCCAAGTTTACTATGATAATCAGGAGCAGAAAATTTTGAAAAACTTGCAATTTGGCCAGAAAAGTGAAATGAAACCAGGCATGGTTGTTAAAGAGATTACAGCCACTAAAAACACTCAAAGTACCAGAAACAACAGGAAAGATGGCTCAGGGGCATCTCAGAAACTGGCAAGCCCACAACCACCTCAGGCTGAAGATGTAAAAGTAAAAATTCCTTTGAGAAGAGACCATGGGGACACCCTTCTTACCTGGGAAGGGGAAAGCGGAGGAAGTTATTTCATTGTGCTCAGTTGCTCAGGTACTCAGAGGTTGCTGTGACCATGGTCCCGAGAGGCAGCCTACTGCTCAAGATGGTGGTAGACAAAAATCGGTGTCAACCACATGGTACTGGTTCTGCAGGGATGCAGGATGCTGGAGTTAGGGGGTCGCGGAGGTTTCCACCAAGATTTCAAAGGAAGGCCTAGGAGGCCAGGCAAAGTGTAGCAGGGTCAGAGTCCCAGTGGCTGCCCTTGAGAGGTGATGCATGAAAATGTGAGAAGGAAGCCAGAACTTCAGTGGAGAGCCCCGAGCTTAAGAGATGCCCAGGAAAGCTGCAGGAATCCAGCAGAAACAAGCCTAGAAAGAGGCTGTGTGAGCTGCAACCAGCAAGGCCACAGGGGAAGAGCTAAGCAAGCCCTTTGGAGAGAACATCACAGTGCCATGTGCCCCGGATGCTAGGCACAGAGCTACAGGACTTGTTCGCCTAACTGGATATTGGTCTTGCTCTGGTCCCATTCTTTCTTTCCATGCCCCCATTTCTCCCTTGCAGAATGGA